TTGAGCTCGGCGCGCTGGATGAAGGATTTCGTCCGGATTTCTATTGGATTTTTTTGTTTAAAAAAAATTTTTTTTTGTTTGGTTTTGTCATCCCTTTTGGTTTCGTTTTGGGCTGTTTCGTCGTTTTCGATCGTCGTGAGAGGCATACGCGTGGCCATCGTCTTTCTTTGTTTGTGTTCGATGGACTGCGTTATCGCCTTTCCAGTGTTCATTTCAATCCGCAAGAGCTCCATCGTCTTGCAGATTGACACTACATCCCCTGACCTGCGTATGTGTTGAGTTTCGGCAGCGCGACGTCGAGAAGTGACGGACACGACTTGCAGTTAACGACGGCGGACGCAGCGACGGGTGTATCAAATAAAATATGATTATGCATTTCGCAAGAGTTTTGTTTTCCTTTTCCCCCACCGACGCGGCGACGGTGGAGCCATGGGACGCGAACACCTCGAAGCTGCGATGCGGGGAGAAGTTTTATCATCGGCGAGAACGGGGACAAGCAGCTGCGACGGCCACAGTGTCGACGTTTATGCAAGTGGATGAAGATGATGATTGACGTCGTAGATGTCAAAGAAGACTACCTGAAACGCATGCAAGTTGTTTGTTTTGATGATACAAAAACCATGTTCGAAATGAATGCAAAGCTTTTTTTTTTTGCGATGGTGCACGCACCATCGCATCGGTTTGTTTTTTGTGTTCAATCAATATAGAGTGCAGAATCTCAGCTGAAAGAACATCGAGTTACTTTCTTCGAGGGGCATTTGCTGGGTTTTTTTCTTATGTTTTAGCTTTCTATTGCGGAGAAGTCCTCTGTGTTTTGGTCGTGAGTGTTGCATACATACGAAATGCAAAAAGCAGTGACCCCACTTTCACACTGTGCGCATTCCTGCCCTTTTTAGTTTTGTTTCGTAGAAGAACGACCTGTATAATTGTACATGTGTAATTTATTGTTGGAAAACGAAATGACGACGTGACGCGCGTCTTCCACCTGCAAGTACAAAAGTAAACATCTTCTTCGGCGGTGAAGGGCAGCGAGACACTTGTATAATTGACGCCGCGCAGTCTTCGCTTCAAATGTTGAGCGGCACCCAGTCGACCTGTGCCGCGTCGACGCAGCAACTGTACCAGCCGGAAGAATGTACAACCTTCTTCGAAACGAAAAACAAGATGCAGCAGCGGAAACTATGGAGATGTGCTGGGTTGCTGGGAGAAGAATCAAAAAAAGCTGCTTTGAGCGCCGCCGCGAAGCAAAAAATAACCGTCGCGCACGCCCGAATCGAAACGGACGGCAGCACTTCGCAAGTGCTTAGCTGGCGGAACGCGACGGAAGGGAAAATCAGGATTTTCGGCCACCTGATATTCACGCGCGCTTGCATCGTCTTCTGTGTTGCGGGGACACAAGACGTCGGATCGCTCTTCATTCCGGCGCACACGATACTTTACCCGAACTCGGCCAACTACGGCGTGAAGCGGTGCAACGTTGTCACCTACATCAAAAAATCTCAATTTGCATCGCTACATTCTTCAATTATTTGTTGGTCGCTCTTGTCTCAGGCACAGTCACAGCCTGCTTTATTGGTTTATAATTCGGACATCAAGATCAAGACTTCATTAGTCCTGTTTTTCCCGTAGTTCGGGATAGTTACCTATACCTTCTTGAAAAAAATCAAAATGATGAAGCGTTTTTCTACTGCTTTCGTTTCGAGCCCGTCCAGCTCTGCTCAGCTGGTCATGATGTTGGTGCAAGCGATGTTTGTTTGGATGCACCTGGAGACGATGGTGGGAGCTGCCGTGGGGCTCCAGTTGCGCATGAACAATGCCGCCGTCGGTGGTAGTGCTGCGGCTCCACTAACAGCGCCCTCGGGCTCGGCTGGTGGTCAACACGATCGAACGGTGGGTGAGAACGAGTTGCTACTGGTGTCGCTTGGCAACAACATCCTCGCGAGGGTTCAACTCACTCGCGTGGAGCGGCTTCGCGGTTCCATCACGGCCAAACGGTTGGAGACAGCGTTAGCCGAAGGCGGAGCCGTGCCCAATGAAGTTGCTGCCGCCTTTGAAGTCCATCCGCCGAAGTTTTTGATCACTCCTATGGCGTTCTCAAATGTTACATTCTCAACTGTTGCCTGATTTGTCATCCAAAATTCCAATCAGAATCGACACAACCAAGCTGGCTTTTGTATGTTGAGGTCGCCGAAAGTGCTTCCTCGCCCACCCGCCGGGGAGGGGGTCCTTGACCTGTGGCGCTGGGTGCGGGTGCCCAGTACATGATGATGATGATGATGAAGCTGCTTCGCATGACAAATTCCCGAAGGGACAAACAGGTTGAGAATCTGTGCCAAATCTGTCATGCAAAAGGCGCAATCTTCCCATGCCATCCCCCTTTCAGTTTTGCCATTCTTGTATCACAAATCCGGGTCTTCACAGTTGAGAATGTAACAGTTGCGAACGCCATAACTCCAGATTCTGACGAGACGCCGGCTAATCAGACGCAAATCTATTCGCGTGATGCGCCGGGCAATAGCAGCATGTCGCTCCGCAATTACCGGCAGGTCCGGGAGGGGCGGATGGTGACGGTCGTGATACAAACTCCAACAGAAGAGGAGCTGCAGCAAGAGATCCGAAACATGCAGGCGGCTGTAGACCGTGAGCGTCCACGTGCAGGTGAATTCCTAGAGCCGGGATCTGTAAGCGCGGGATCTGTAAGGTGCTGCGCGGGATCTGTAAGCGCGGTTATCAGTGCGCGCTGCTGCTGTGCTGCTAGTGTTCACTTGCTGGGCCTTTGCGATCTTATTGGTGGCGTGGTTGGCGTGGCTGCTGGTGGCGTGGCTGGCGTGGCCGCGGTAGGGCAATGCTACAGGGGTACACTTGACTGCTGGGCGGGGTGCTGTGCACGCAGGCAGCAGGGCGGGCTCTTGCGACGCAGAGAGCAACTGCAGGCGCTGCTGCGATTCCGCCAAGAAGGCCAACCGCCACGACAGCAGCAGATGATGGAGCAGCCGCGGCAGCCGCAGCAGCTGATGCCGCGGCCAGAAGTACCGCCGCCGCAGCCGGTGATACGGCGAGGAGGATGGCGGCAGCAGCTGGAGGAGCCGCTGCCGCTGCCGTAAAAGCTGCAGCCGTTGCCGTAAAAGCTTTTTTTGATGTTTTCTATCCGATCGGTGTTGCAGAAGTTGCTGCCCACAGGCGATAGTCAGCGAGGACTGCAGCCACCCAGACCCATGTGAATGCGATCTGTACCCTACTAGTTTGAAGTAAAGAAATAGAAGTAGCGATTACGGATTTTATAAAGCAGAAGCGTTTATTGCTGAAGCTCGAGCGCGCGACTACTTTAACACGACTCGCTTTCTACTACAGCCCCAGGAGATGGCAGCACGCGAGGACAACGTCGCAAGCTGAATACCGCGTCTTGCTTCACGTGTAGGCCATGTTGACCAGGAAAAAGCGCAGCTTCATGCAATATCTTCCTATGGGTTCTTGATGACACCAGACCCAGAGATTTAATTCTACGAAACTACGCCAATTTGGAATTGGCTGTAGTACGCTAACAAATTTGTATTTATTGAAATCAGTGATTTATGTACATGGCACCAAAAGAACTCGAAGTGACCCATGGATTTGCATTCATGGAGGCTTTGATGTTCTTGTAGTAGCACGCGTCATTTCTTGTTGATCAGCTACAGCACAGCTATGCAGAAGATGAGTGAGACCACATTAGAACTACGACTTCTACTCAGCACTTCTAGGAAAAAAGACTTGTAGCTACCCCCCTAGAAGCAGGGCAAACAACAAAAAGCCGGATAATTAACAGAAGACTATAGAACGTTTATGATATTTCATTACAGCCCCCCCCCCAGTCAGGCAGCGGCATCCGCTAGAGTGCAGGATGCGCGAAGTGGAGTAATGTCAGCTCCAAGCCGACGACGCCCCACATCGAATGACCGCAGTACACCCAATCAAGTAGAACTGCACAACTTCTTCGCTTGCAGCGAAAACAGAAGCACTGAGACTGCCATGACTTTCAGGAACATCAAATCGAGCCTGCCATTGCGGCGCTCAACGACGTTCGCTCCTCTTGTGGGACGCAGCGGCGCCTCCTGATTCTTCCGTTGTTCGCCTCTGAAGTTGCTCGCAAGGTCTGCTCGGCAGATCCGGGACGGAGCTGCGAGTCACGGCACCACCACGCGGCTTCATTTTTCACCAAGACAGATCGTCTGATCTGTGGGCGTTGGTGTGGTTGTCGATCATGTGCAACTACTTGTGATGTTTCTGCTTCTCGTGCAGGACCTAATAGACTTGAGGCCTTTTATTTTCTACTTGCCATTTCAACACCAGCTTCTCTATGAGCTACACATCGGTCATGTTGTAGCTCCGTTCACTGGCTCGGTCGTTTTTTTTTCCCAGATCATTGATTTCCACATAGGAATGGAAGGATTTCGATTTTCATTTTTCGGTCTTTTGAGCGGGACATGAAGAGCGCCATCGGTATATTCTTGTGTAGTTGCGTATAGATTGAGGATGAGGGCTGCGACATGAGCGCAAGCGTTTGAATATCGGTTTAGGGTAAGTAGATGGGAGCATGTAGCTACCTAAATTGTATACACTCGTCGGCTAACGCTTGCACAGCTGTTTTTTTGTTTTTTGAAACTGATGATGGCCTTCCGGCTTCCCTTGGTTGTGGTCTTTTCACCAGTCGGTTCTCGAAGTGTGTCATTGCTTTTCGACCTCCAGCATGTGCCCTGCATTTCCTTCGGTTAGTAATGTTTGCAGTCATTCTATGTCAATTCTGTAGCAAAAAAATGATTAATGCTAGCATCTTCACGAAACAGTTCCCAGTCCGAGCGTTTGCATTTCGCACTTTACACCAGCTAAGCTACCACATTTTTTGTAAACGAAACAAAGTCATGGCACATCTTTAGTTTTCATTGTCAAGTAGTGTAGTTGTACATTAATGTTTATTCGCTCCCATTCTTGTTTACATTCCAGAATTTAGATTCTCTGGGTCGACACTTCGAGCCTATGCGACTCTAGTACTTCTAAAGACTCAACTCATCTTCATAGTGGCAAAAAGAAGATTCATGGTATGAAAGTCTGCCGACGTCGCACTGGCTCCGGCGCCAAATAAAACAAATACTACGGGCGACGGAACAACAAGCTGCAAGAGCAAGAGCCAACATGCTGCTGATGATGCCCGCTTCGCCGAGCACCGTCGCTGACGCAGGCGACACGCTCTCTTCCGGCACAACTGCAATGCCTTCCCAGCTACAGAAGTCCGCTGCGCACCGGTTTTGCCAATTCGCCATGAATTTGGTGAACCGGGAATTGGAGCCGCTGTTTGAATCCTGCATCCCGTATTTCGAGCAGGCCCAGAGCGAGTTAAACAACGGACAGGGGGAAACATTAGAGCAGTTATGCATCTTTGCAAATATGTCTGCTGTCTGGGTCATCGATCTGGAAAAATCCAAGGTTTGGCAACATGCGGGTTTTCAGGTTTTCCATGACTTCCCATGAGGGCTGGAAATGGAATGCAGGACCTAGCATGACAGATTCCGTGCTGGGATCTCTATCATGTTCATGGTACCTGTCCTGCATCATGAGGAGCGTCCTCCTCTCAGTTTGCGCTTGGTCAAGGGAAAAAGTTACCAACTTTTGGCAATCTACTATCGTGCAACACAGATTTATTTTGCATGATCATCCGGAACTAGCATGACAAGTTGCACCAGTCGTGTTCCAGACGGAGATGACATATTTGCATTTGATAGCAGTACAGCTGCTACCAAAAGTACATCGAAGTGCTTGAACAAAAGCTCTATGGATTGTAAAAATGTCCGGGTCTCGAAAAATGCAACCTGTGATGCTGTTTTTGGATTCTAAAAAGATTTGTATTGCATGAGCAGCAAAAGAGGTCCAGTTTTTGCCATTGCGAGAGGGAATTTCTCATGCGGTATAGGCATTAGACAGCCCTCACGTAATCTGTGACGCTAGGGCATGCATCACATACATCAGGACTAATGCAAAATGTGCATGACAAACCTTGCATCCTTCCAGACCCAGACATTTTTACATTTGATAAGCTCACGGAGTTCGTGAAGACAGAGCTGAATTTATGCAACACAAATCTTTGATATTCCGCGCCCGTGCAAATAAATGCATGGCAAATTACGCTACCCTACGGTGCTAGAACATTTTACTTGTTATGCTGAGAAGTGGGATAAGAATAAGAAATTGCTATTGAAGGAAGGTTTCTGCATGATGCAGAAACCGCGTTTGATATTCCTGTACGCGCGCGGAAAGGTGTTTTTATTTACGGTGGATAGAATTACGACACGGAGCAGAACCCAAACGCAGCAGCGGATATGAATTGCAAAAGTACCGTACTAGTATAAATTGCATGACAAATTCGCTCAGCAAGACAAAAGTAGGGTGGGGGACTGGGGAGCGCCCGTAGGCCCACTGCCTCTAGGAATCAGTGGATGCTCTTCCTTCGTCTGGTCCTCTCGCCAGGTCTCACGAACGCCACCTGGGTCTCTAAACCCACCTAGGTCTGTTCTGCGTTGCATGCAAAAGAAATCTGGTTTTTTCGCAGGACGGTGTAACAGTGCCAGGATCTCTGTCTACGAGGGCGCCAGCTTCGGAAAGGAGATCTTTTGAACTTCACTTCACTTCACTTCAAGACAAAAGTAGTTTGTAATGCTGTTTTACCTTGAGAAAAACATGCATATTTGCAATTGGTACGAGTGCGATACTTTTGCACAGGATAGCGGAGTTCCTCCAGCAACTGCAGGCCGCCATGGAGAAAGACAAAGAGGAAGTTTCGCGTATCAAATGCAAATATGTCTGGGTCTGGAAATTTGTGATGCTAAAATGTGCATGACGAAAACGCTCCCTCATGCGGGAGAGCATGACAAGTTTATTGCAGAACGCTTCTTCATACGCGCTCCGCATGAGAAAGTGCGTTTTTGTATGACAAGATCAAGGGACGAGCAGGCTGCGACTTTTGTTGGTCATGCAATACAGATCTCACAGGAATGCAAGACTAGCATTACAAGTTACAACTTTCCAGACCCAGACATATTTGCAATGCATATCGCGGGAATTCGAGCAATTCCTGGCTGACTACAAGCAGCAGGTGTTAGCCCAGTTATGCATTGCAAAAGTATCGTACTAGTATAAATTGCAATACAAATTTTCTCAGCATGAGAAAGAAAATGTGTAATGCGGATTTACCTTAAGACAAAGATTTGTAATGCAAGACTTGCATTTATACGAATGCGATACTTTTGCACAGGATACCAGTTCGGCTACAACAACGACACGGACGGAGTGACAGGCGGAGCTGCTTTATCAAACAAAAAAAGTTCGTCACGATCACTCATGCGCATTTTTGCAATACAAAACTGCTTGCCATGCGTAAAAATGCATCACAGCCAAACTTTATTAGGGATTTCCCTAGTGTTTCTGCAATACAAGGAAAATTTGTGATGCTAAGAAAATTTGTAATGCAAACCCTGCAAATTAGTGACTGTGATAAACTTTTTTCTCTCCATATGCTTCAGCTGGTTATGAGAGTACACACCTCCCCCTCGTCCCCCTCGTTTGTCATGCAAAATTCCAAATCCACCCTTTGCCTCTTAGTACTGTTCGCATGACAGATTTATTCGGACTCCGAAACAGCACTAAAATCCCCTAGAGATTTGTCATGCAAAAGTTGCATCTTTGCCAGCGCTTGTGCTGTTGTTCATGCAACACAAATGAGGGGGAGGGGGAGTTGGGCACTGTCATACTGCTGGGCACCAGTTGAGAACGGCGTTTAACGACGCGTCCGATGACGACCAATTGGAAGAGGAGGTTGCGCTGATGCGGATGCTATCCTGTACAAAAGTATCTTACTCGTACTATTGCAATCATGCGTTACAAATCTTTTTTTTAAGGTAAATTCGCATTACAAATTTTACTTCTCATGCTGAGGAAATTTGTAATGCATTCATACGAGCACGATACTTTTGCAGTTCATAGGTGCTGTTCAAGCCCGAGTCTGTGGAAGATCTTTTCCATGCGGTCTTGAACATGACGGAATACTCCTTCTTTTCCCAACTCATGCGCGAACGTGTGCGGCAAAAGCAGCTGGAGCAGAAAGCGAAGGAGGCATTGCAGCTGATCGAGAACCGCAAACGAAAGATCATCGAGGTATGCGAGTGCCAGGATCGAAATCGACAAAATCGAAAAAATTGTAAATGCGTATAAATGTAGGGCACGCATGGCCTGCGTTGGGGAGCACGAGCAGGCAAATGAGACCGACATCTGTACTTAGTCATGCGTCACTTGGAAGTTGGAACAAACTGAGGCTCCAACTGGTATCGGTTTTATGCGTCGCAAATTATTTCGATTTTGTTGATTTCGATTTTGGCACTCGGATACGAGGGCGAGTTCGGTCTCGCCTTTCGGTTTGTGGAGTTCGCCGTGGAGTTGTTAAATGACAAACTGTATGCTGTGCAAAAGTATCGTACTCGTAGTAATGGCAGATATGCATGACAAATCTTCCTCCTAAAGTAAAAGAGCATTACAAATCCCACTTTTCTCCTTGCCAAAACTTGTAATGCAATTTATACCAGTGCGTTCTTACTTTTGCAATGCATAAACTGGATCCGTTTTACCACAGAACCACACCGCTCTTTGACCAGGATTATAACCAGGATAACGAACCGGCGGGACGAACATTAAAGGACTCCGACGAGTTCTCGCATTTGCACTATGCGGCCTTCAAGGAGTATGAAGAAATTGTCGAAACTGAACTACGGCAGTTTATTCTGGAGAAGGAACAATTCCCCTCGGTGGAAGCGTTTTTCGTCAACTTGCAGGACTTGATCGCGAAAGACGAGAAAAATCAGATCGACAATCGGTTGATTCAGGAAAACGAGCTGTTAGCGGAAGACCAGCTGCTATGGAGAGAAAAAAGTTTGTCACAGTCACTAACTTGCAGGCTTTGCATTACAAATTTTCTCAGCATCACAACTTTCCTCTGTATTGCAGAAACACTAGGGAAATCCCTAATAAAGTTTGGCTGTGATGCATTTTTACGCATGACAGAAAATTTTGTATTGCAAGAATGCGCATGAGTGATCGTGACGAACTTTTTTTGTTTGATAGCTGCGGAGATTTGGGTCGGTGCAGGACTTGATCTCGGGGGTCTTATATCCTGTGCAAAAGTTGTACTATCGTACTCGTAGTAATTGCATTTATGCAATACAAATCTCGGAGTCTCAAGGTAAAACAGCATTACAAATTCCATTTCCAAGAATGCTGGGCTAATTTGTAATGCAATTCATACTAGAAGTGCGTTAGCGTTACTTTTGCAATGCATATCTTAGACCAAGTGGAGTTCAACTTTTTCGCGGAGATGATGCGGTTTCGGGCCCAACAGGAGAAAGTGTTTGGACTGTTCTTCCGAAGCGAGGATTTGGTTGGTAAAGATGAACTAGTACAGCCGACGACTAGTGCTAGTACTTCTGCAGGAGGAGCCACTCCGGGGACCAACTCTTCAAGTAGTCGGGGACCAACATCTACTTCATCAATCCCCGAGCCCGAGCCGATTCCGGGCAGTGCGAATTTGTCACCGGCCGGCAGCGTGGTCGCTGGTCCCTCTTCTACTTCTGCTTCGCTTTCAGCATCAAGTTACTTGCAAATGACGTTGCTTGTGCCGGAAAATTGCCTTGGCGGCTCCACGGTGGCGTTTGAAACGCCCGACGGGCAGAACCTCACCGCAGTGGTTCCCGAAGGATTGCAGCCCGGTGCTGCATTCACGGTAGAGTACCAACCGCTTCAGATGATGGTGATGACCTCTACGACCCCCGGTGCAGCAGCTCCTACTTCAGTTCTTGGAGACCACGATGCTGCAAGAACAAGCACAACAACCTTCACAGTGCAGGTGCCGGAAAATTGTGGCCCGGGAACGGTGCTGCTCGTAACCGCTATGGATTGCAAAAATGTCTGGGTTGTCTGGAAGGATGCAACTTGTGATGCTGCATTTGGATTCTACAAAAATCTGCATTACATGAACAGCAAAAGAGGTCCAGTTTTTACGACGGCGAGAGGGCATTTCTCATGCGGTATAGGCATCAGGTTCAGGGAGCCCTGATAAAATCTGCGATGCTACTAGGGCATGCATCACAGACATCAGGGGTCATGCCAAAGCTGCATCACAAATCTCTGCATCCTTCCAGACCCAGACACTTTTGCATTTGATAACCGCGCCGAGCGGACAACAGGTGAATGTCGAGGTGCCGGCTGGGGTTTATCCTGTGCAAAAGTATCGTAGTCGTACTAATTCATTGCAGTATATGCATGACAAATCTTCTTTTCAAAGTAAGACAGCATGACAAATTCCATTTCTCATGCTGAGCAAATTTGTAATGCAATTTGTACTAGTACGATACTTTTGCAGTTCATAGGGTTGTGTCGGGGATGAATTTCGAGGTGAGTATGTAGAGAAATACTAAGTTGTGGAGTAAATAAGCTCGTCCTGCTGGAGCTGCTGCTGTACCTCTACCTGGAGGTTTATCTGGAGTTCGTCTATCAACGAAGAGATGGTGGTCGTGAAGCCTACCTCGTCTTCTCTGACAATAAACCACACGAGCATGTTAACCGAGGTTGTTTGTACTTGTTTTCCAAGAAAAAATCTCGAAACTCGACCTGTATTGTACATGTACAACGAACATCAAACCACGTCAGCCGAATTTTTTTTCAACAGCAAATAGAAGAAGTACAACTGGGAAGATTTCTAGGCTTCCTCACCTGTAAATATATTACGCAAACTTCTAGAAGTAGAATGAATACAGAATCACACGACGACAGCATGTGCATGCGAGAGGACAAAGATCCGAGATCAGAAGCACAAACATAGGGCGTTGAAAAAGCGTAGGGTCCGCACCTCCAGCATTTCCTGGGATGTAGCAGCGGAAAACACTTTTTGGATTTTATAATATCATTGCAAAGACGAGTGGATTTATAAAAAAAACTTTCGCGCATGGTCCTTTTCCTACAACACACTGCGCACCAACCAAACCGGATTTTTTGAATCATTTCAATAAAACATGAACACTATTCAAATTCTCGCGCTCCTAGATCCTATTTATTGGGCAGACAAATTTTCACGTAATAAAAAAAGACAAAAGGCACCAGCTTAGGCGGGTATTATTTCGCTTGCTCCGCGGGGAAACCCTGGTGCATTTTTCGACATCTGCGATGTAAATTGTAATATATAAACTGAATAAGAAATAATTCTGAGGCAATAATGCGTCGCCATCTTCAACATCAACACGTTCTTGGCGTGACCTGCTATCCCTAACGACGTCCAGGAGATCTTCAGACTTGGTCGCAGGTACCCTGTGTATCAGGATCAAAAGCGGCCGCTCAGTCAGGGAACTACACAGTCGATGGTAAACCGAAAGATCTTCGATGCCATGAACATGAAAATGATCACAGCATCAGTCGTTCCTGCTGTTTCATCCTTCTCTTTCGGTCGTCGGGTCTTGTGTCATGGTAAGTACTATACCTTTACATCTTCTAACTTTTGACTACAGCGACACCAAAACAAACACATTCGAGGTGAGATTGTTTTTAGTTAGTGGTTTAAGTTTAACTTCGTTCATCTAAGAGTATGACTCCCCACGAGCACGTCGACTTCATCGTTTGGAGAGATGAACATATGTGATCATCATCATCGTCTGACCTCAATCCCCGCACGATTGAGACTGATATGTTGTTCTGATACAAACAAAATATGATTGGAAGACCAAAGATCGATCATGTTGGCCAACAAGTACTCTGCTCGAGGACCACGGGGTGACAACATTTTTCCCACGACAAAATTCCAACCTCCACAGGGGTACTTCTATAAGCAGTCGGAGCAGTAGTTACTAAACACAACACGACCTTCAACATCTTCGCTCTCCTGACAGTATACCTGGCAGGGGGAGAAGCGAAGAACTGTCGAGCAGCAAGACAAGACATTATACCAATAGGACCCTGACCACATCCGGAACGTCGCAAGATGCTTTCCGACGACGGGGGCCAACAAAAGCTCTACCTGTTGGAGCAGGCAATCGTGCTCCTTTTCGGGCCGCACACGCCCCAGCGACAAGAAGCCGAGAACTTCGTGAACACGTATGCACTGCAGCAAAAGTTGTATCGTCCTAGTAGTGAACTGCCCTTATTAGAACAAATTTGCTCAGCATGAAGATGACAACTGGAAGCGGCCGTAATGTTGTTTTAGGTTAGGAAGGCAATTTGTCATCCATATTATCTGCAATTAGAAGTATAGCACGGGTGCGATATTACAACTTTTGCACAGGATAACACGCACCACTTAGCTACTTTCACAAGTCTTTTCGAGCAAACGAAATCGGAGCAGATTCAGTACTATCAAATGCAAAAATGTCTGGGTCTGGAAACTTGTGATGCTGAATTGCGCATGATTGAAGCGCTTCCAATGGCAGCCAAGCATGACAAGTTTTTGAGAGGCCTGCTGAAGCTGATGCCTAGCACGCATTACAAATTGTGCTATTGCATGACAAAGAAAGCTTCTCTTTTGCTGCTTATGCAACACAGATTTTCCAGGAATGCATGACACGCACTACAAGTTCCACTTTTTCAGACCCAGACATTTTTACATTTGATAAGTACTACTGCCTCATGCGGCTGGACCAGAACGTGGAGCAGTCGGTGGAGCTACGAAGGGATGTGATCGTGCCGTTTATTCTAACCCAGTGCTGTTCGGAGAAGTTCGATTTGAGTCTGTTATGAAATGCAAAAGTATCGTACTCGTTGTATAAATGCATGACAACTTCCCTGCTCAGCATGAGAAATAAAATTTGCAATGCGGATTTGACTTGAGAAAGAAATTTGTAATGCATGATCGCAATTACTACGAGGACGATACTTTTGCACAGGATATCTGTCCAAAGCGAACAAGAACAAATTGTCCTTCATCTACTACTATCAGATGCAAAAGTGTCTGGGTCCTCTGGAAGACTGCAACTTGTGATGCTGCGTTTGGATTCCAAAAAATTCTGTATTGCATGAGCAGCAAAGGGAATGCGATTTCTGCTACGCGGAGAGGGCATTTGCCATGCGGAATAGGCATCAAGATGCCCTCAAAAATCTGTGATGCTAGGGCACGCATCACAGACGAGACATCATGGCTCATGCTGCAAAACGTGCATCACAAGGCTGAGAAAAATCTTCCAGACCCAGACACTTTTGTAATCCATAACTACAAATGCGTTGTGCTGGACTACTGCCACGACGATCATGGAGGACACGTACAAAACCAGCATCAGCGCGAGATTTATTTCTGGGCAACGGCCTTCTCCGACATTTTCGACCACTCTGTTTGCAGAGTGGCCATACAGGAAGCGGAGTGCCAGGATCGACAGCGGGTGGAGATGTTGAAAGCTAATGCAGTACTGAAGATGTCCTCTGGCAGCTCAGGAGGTGGCGGCAGCACTAGTTCCTCCTCAACATCCGCGGTCGCAAACAACATTACCGCTCCTAGTTCCCTGGCATCTTTAGCCTCCTCTCACTCCACCGCGGACGCGGTAAAGTACCGGTTGGTGGAGTTAATGAACCGCGTGTTGTTCGAGTTATCCGAGAACCTTCTCTGCGAAGACGCGGCCTTCCGGTTGGACACTATGGATTGCAAAAATGTCTGGGTCTGGAAGGTTGCAACTTGTCATGCTGTTTTTGGACTCTAAAAAAATTTGTATTGCTTGACCAGCAAGAGGAGCCCAGACTGTGCTACGCGGAGAGGGCATTTGTCATGCGGAATAGGCATCAGGAAGCCTTCCAAAAATCTGTGATGCTAAATCATACACTACAGGCATCATGGGTCATGCAAAATATGCATGACAAACCTGGCACTCTTCCAGACCCAGACAGTTTTGCACTTGATAGACACGGCGGAAAAGCGAAATCGAGCGAGTGTCTGCAAGGAACGGATCAAGCAGAAGGAGTGGGATTTCTTTGTCAACATCTGGATGAATGTGCTGGGAAAGCTATCGAAAGGAAAAATCCCCCCTCCCCATATCGAAAACGAAATTTGTGATGCTGTATTTGAGGTCACAAATCGACTCGTCATGCTAGAAGGCCAAGAGCCGCAGTCGTGGCCTCGTTTGCAGGCAATTTGTCATGCTGTTTCCCACTCTCAGCTGCCTCCTATCATGCTGAAGATGCAAGGCTTCCCCACGCCACCCAGCACTGCAGTCCGCATCTTTTCCCGTGTAGCATGACAAAGCTGATTTGTGACAACAAATCTGCATCACAGATTTCCGTTTTGATATGGGGAGGGGGGATTTTTCCTTTTGAGAAAAGCCGTTGGTGGAAAGTAGCTCGAGCAGTAGTTGCACAACTAGTTCAACGTCGACCCAAAACAGCAGTACAACAAACTCTTCTGCAACAAATTCAAATCATCAACCACTGCTGTACCAGTTTGGTGGTCACCAGCACCGCGCTGCTGACCACCAGCAGCAGGAGTATCAGGTAATCGCGGCCAACAACGCAATATGAACTGCAAAAGTATCGTACTCGTATAAATGCATCGAATTTTCTCAGCATGCGAAATGAAATTTCAATTTGTCATGCTGATTTACTTTAAGAAAAAAATTTGTAATGTTGCAAGACCTGCATTTATACGAATGCGATACTTTTGCACAGGATACGCAAGACTGCTGAATCTGCAGTCGGACTGTCTCCTGGCGATGAAGGAATTCATTCCCTGGGTTGAGTATCAAAAGGAAAAATCCCCCCTCCCCATATCAAAACGAAATTTCTGATGCTGGATTTGGATACACAAATCAAATTTGTGTTGCAGTAGAGGAAGGCACGCAGATCCTGAGCCTAGGCGGGGGCCTTTTGTTGTAGGCGCCTAGCATGGTAGACGGCTACCCTGTAGGCCTTACAGCGTTACAAATCGCCGGCATAACCACGTGGCGGGCAGCCTGAGCGTGCCTTCTTGCAAGACAGACCCGGCCTGTGGTCAAAAATCAGCAACACAAATTAGCGGAGGCATACCTTTTCGATATGGGGAGGGGGGATTTTTTCTTTTCATATTGAGGCGGTCAAGGTTTGGAACCAAACCACGATCCAAACGCTGCAGAGGCTCATGCTGTCCGCTATTGAGCGGAGGAAAAAAATATGAATTGCAAAAGTATCGTACTAGGCTAAATTGCATGACAAATTCGCTCAGCAAGACAAAAGTAATTTGTAATGCTGTTTTACCTTGAGAATAACATTTGTCATGCATATTTGCAATTGGTACGAGTGCGATACTTTTGCACAGGATAAAAAAACGAAGAGCAGTCGCTGAGACTGTCCGACGCTTCTGTTTCCACCTGTGTATCAAATGTAAAAATGTCTGGGTCTGGAACAAGAATGCAAGATTTGCGATGCAGTTTTTCCATGACCCATGAGGCCTGGAATGCAGCGCCTAGCATGACAAACGCCGTGAGGTGTCTACCATGCTTATCCTGCATGAGAAACTCCCTGTCAAACAGGTCAAAAGTGGACATCTTTTGGTAATCATGCAACACAAGTTTTTGCATGCTTCAGATTCAGCATCACAAGTTGCATTCTTCCAGACCCAGACACTTTTGCACTTGATATTGTGGAAGCGAGAACAACCCGGGGTTCCCGCACTCCGGGAACCAAACCACTTCCCTTATGCCAGCCTCAGAATGGAAATCCTCAAAGTGGAAATGATTTGTAATGCAAAAAAACGACTCCAGTTGAAGCGCCATTTCTAGTCGGCGCATGACAAATTTACCGGGCACTCAAAGCATGTCTGTCATGCTAGTTAGGGCAAAAGGGTGCCCTTCTCTCGTGCTGATCAGCAACACAGTTCTGAACCCGGAGAAGCACAATAGCCGGCCTCCATTGCGTCCTCTGCAATGCAGTTTTTTTGGTGTCGCATTTCATGCATCACAAATTATTTCCACTTTGAGAATTTCCATTCTGAGGCTTTCATATCCCTGTTCCCCGTCTGCTGCGACGTGTTCGACGCGCTGTTGAAACGGAAGTTCTCGTCGGAGAACCAGATCGACAAGTTGAAAGCGTTGTCCGTTTTTCGCATCACCGAGTTCTTTTTGGAGCAGCTGGCGGACAGCGATCTGGTGCCAACAGTTGGTGGAATATCAAACACTTCTAGCGATGTTGGTGCCAACATGACAGGTAATCAACAGCTCGGTGTGATTTATTCCGCCGCGAACTCCACAGCGACGACGCCAAATGTGGTGGCGAGCAGCGAAACCGCCGGGATGATCATGAACGGCAGCCAGCAAGAACACGGGATGCACCACCTCCGTTTGATCCAGAGCCAAAACCCTTTCGAGGAAGACAGCGATTTGTGGCTGGATATGAATTGCAAAGGCATTGTACTATTATGAATTGCATTACAAAGTTCCTTGGCATGAGAAATGGAATTTGTAATGCTGATTGACCTTAGGAAAAAGTCTTGTAATGCATGACTGCAATTACTACGAGTGCGATGCTTGTTTTGCACTGGATACTGGAGAAAAAAGTCGAAGTCGTCGACTCTTTAGCGGAAGCGGTGCTGGAAATTATTACAATGAAAAATGCCCCCTCCCCATATCAAAACGGAAATCTGTGATGCAGATTTGTGGTCACAAATCTGCTTTGTGATGCTAGAAGGCAAAAGATGAGGACTGTAGCGCTGCCTAGCGTGGGAAAGCCTTGCAGCTCCAGGATGACAGGATGCAACTGGAAGTGGGAAACAGCATGACAGATTGCCTGCAATTTAGGCCGCAGCTTCGTCTCTTGGCCTTCTAGCAATACAAGTCGACTTGTGTATTCAAATACAGCATCACAAATTCGCGCATCTTCCGTTTCCGATATGGGGTTGGGGCTTTTTTCACTTTGATAGAAATCTACGTGAATTTACGGAAAAAACTGGGCACGTACAACACGAACGTTGTGGAGAATAAACACAAGGCGTCGAAGAAATCGAAACCCAGCACTTCCGCGAAGATGCACCCCAATAATTCGGAGCAAAATCTCAGCCAGCAGCTGCGGGAGAGGGACAGAGCCAATAATAATGACATTAATTTACAGCATCTACTCGACGCGGAAGGCGAGGCGTTGCGGCTACTTGGGGTGTTGCTGCCCCAGATCAGCAATTATTTCGCGCACCCAAGGTTTGCGATTGCCAACTCGGTGGAGGTATCAAATGTAAAAGTGTCTGGGTCCTCTGGAAGAATGCCAGACTTGTCATGCAGGTTTTCCATGACTCATGAAGTCTGGTATCGAGGACATAGCATGACAGATTCTGTGAGAGTTCTATCGTGCCTATCCTGCATGAGAAACTGCCGCTCGATTAGGTCAAAAGTGGGCAGCTTTTGGCAATCATGCAACACAGATTTTTACATGATTCAGATTTAGCATGACAAGCTGCTTTGTTCCAGACCCAGACACTTTTGCATTCCATAGGAGGAGTTTCTGTCTGAGTTTTTCCGCGAGGTGGAGCATTTGATCGTTCCAGAAATAAACTACGCACAGAATGCTGGTGATCATCTTCCCCAAGGTGCTGGACCTCAACAAAGCAGTAGTAGTAGTTCTACCACAACAGCAGGCCAGCAACCACCACCAGCTCGTCGCAGTGGACCTCTTATCAAGTGCAAATATGTCTGGGTCTGCAAACTTGTAATGCTGAATGGTCATGATTGACTGCGTTTTTAAGTGCAGAAGTGCAGCATGACAAATTTTTCAAACGGTTTCTCATGCGCAGAACGCATTACGAAGTCCGCTTTGGTATGACGAAAGTGTGGCACTTTGTGCGCTGCTTATGCAATACAGATTTTTTAGATATGCGAAACGCGCGATACAACAGTTTCAACCTTTGTCATTGTCCAGACACAGAGATATTTGCGGTTGATCCCTCTGTTCACCAGACAACTCCTGCGACCGGTGTTCGAGTCGCTGCTGTCCTCGTTTGTCATGCGCATGGCGCTATGCATTGCAAAAGTATCGTACTCGTATAAATGCATTACAAATTTGCTCAGCATGAGAAATGAAATTTGTAATGCGGATGTACTTTATGAGAAAGATCTGTAATGCATGACTCCATGACTCCAATTACTACGAGTGCGATACTTTTGCACAGGATAGGGGCTGCCGAGCTGGTTTTCGGTCCACGACGAAGACGATAAGGACCACGTGGAATTTCTGGAGTACCAGAAACACTTGAAGAACTATCTGAAAGTTCTGTTAAAGGTTGACGAATATGCATTGCAAAAGTATCGTACTAGTATGAATTGCATATACAAATTTGCTCAACCTGACTAAATTACCGATAGAAACCGGATTTGTCTTGCTAGTCTGGCATTTATAGTACGAGTACGACGCTTTTGCATTGCATAGCGAACAGATTGTGTTTCGCTGGATCCAGCAGGAATGCGAAAATGTGGGCACGAAATACCTCCAGCACTTGATCTATTTTAGTACTTCGAATGCAGCTGGCGGAACGCCGACACCAGCAGCCACTCTGCATCAACAGCAGCCCCTCCCGGCGGCATTGCTAGTCGCGCCACACCATCCGGAGGCTGCGACGAATGTGTTCTGTGGGGCGGGGGGTCGTGGTGAATACAACAGCATCGGCGGGATGATTTCTTCTTACCAACAACTGCAATACCTCACCGACCCGTCTGTGCTGTTGGTCTCCTCCTGTGCTGCAGTAGCTGCCACGACGGCTAACAAGTCTAAAGACCACGCTATGATCAATCAGTACGAAGCCTCGCCGAGTTACCTCCGCGCCCGGCAGAAGGAATTTCGACAAAGAGCGAATTACGACTGCGTTCCGGCACACGTGGTGAGTTTCTGTGTGTGGCTCGAGACCCTCGCAGATTTGCGGGCAAAGGAGATACCGACGTATCAGACAAGCCACCCGCTGGTGCAAGTGGTAACGTACCTCTTCTCAGAGCAGTTTCTGCAGAAATTGCCCAATGGAAGTTGTACTAGCGAAATAAATTTCGTCTCGACGTCGCGGTCACACTCAGCAGGTGTAGAGAACAACGCTGTTGTCCACGCCGATAATAATCACGACCAGATCCGATCCTCCAGCGAACGAGGCGGGTCAGCGTCTTCGTCCTCTTCCTACGCGAAACTCCTTGACCAAGTGAAGCTGGCGATTTCAGATTTGATATGAAGTGCAAAAGTATCGTACTCGTATAAATGCATGACAAATTTCCTTAGCATGAGAAACAAAATTTGCAATGCGGATTTGCCTTGAGAAAAAAACTTGTAATGCATGATTGCAATTACTACGAGTACGATACTTTTGCACAGGATATTTGATCGTGAAGTACAAAGTCATCGTGGAGAAAGACAACGGTAATAGTACCGGTAAGAGTCTGTTGAATATGCATTGCAAATATGTCTGGGTCTGGGAGGATCCAAACTTGTCATGCTTCTATTTTTGGACTCTCAAAAATTTGTGTTGCATGAGCAGCAATAGCAATAGGAGTCCAGAAATTCCCCGTCCAAGTCTTGGACGGGGCATTTCTCATGCAGGATAGGCATCAAGAAGCACTCGGAAGATGCTAGGACATACATCACAGACGTCATGGGTGATGTAAGGCGTGCATGACAAATCTTCCAGTCTTCCAGACCCAGACATATTTGCAGTTGATATTGAAGAACGTGCTGCAATTTTTCGTCGAGAACCTCCAGAATCTGCGGATCCGGAAACGTGTGGCCTACAACTTCAACAAATTCGTGAAGAAAATCCGGTCCAGTCTCTCCACCGCGAGCCCGACCGCGGGTTTGTCGATAGAGATGGTGAACCACATTGCGTCCGCGAAATTGCTTCAAGTGCCGTTGGAGGTGGTCACCGACGACGCGGACGACTCGCAGGAGAACATCTTCGAGGCGTTGGGCGTGGTGACATGCGGCGTGGACGGAAAGTTCACCCGGGATTTTTTCCAAAAAATCCTCTCGGTACCAGTCCAGCAGCTGCAGGAACTAGTGATTTCGGAGAAGTTTGGCGGCAACGAACAGCAATTTTTCACCGCGTTACGGGATCGACATTTGGACTCCCCGTCGAAACTAGGATTGTCCCAGATCCAGCTCGATCCGGTCACCGCGGCGCACCAATTGGAACCCTTGCTCGGCAGTTACTGCTGCAGACTCTTTTCCTGCTTGTCTACCTTTTCCAAACCGTTCACCCAACTCCGACCGGATCTGGTCGCGGAATGGAGAGAACTCCTGGTTTTAATATCCAAGAAAAAAACATTGTAGGTGTAACTTTTTTGGAGGAACAGCATCACAAATTTGTCTGGCATGACAGCAAAAACCTGTCATGCGCAGATAGCACGTGAAAACGCCCTTTAATGGATCTTACGATGCATGCCAAGCATGACAGACGCCATCATCTTGCATGTTGCGCATCACAAATTTACATATAACAGCGTTTTTTTCTTGGATATTTAACCGAGAAAGTGCACTCCCAGTTCGAGGCGGCGCACAAACCCGAGGTAAAGTCCGCCTTTCGGGTCTTTCTGCGGCAGATGATGCGGGTCCTGGACGCGCAGACCCTGTTCGAAGCTCTGTCGGTACTATTGCCGAAAATGTACGGCGTGGAGTTGAAACGGCTGGGCAATGTGGAAGAGGGAATCAGAAATAGTTGTCAGAGTGGTGGTGGACGAGGAGGTTCTTCATCTGCAAGCAGCTCTTCGTTCAACAGCGCAACGAATCAAAATCATAATCAGGCCCCACAACAGCAGCAGGGTGGGCCTCTAATGATCGATAGCAGGAACAGAGAAGCCATATCGGACTTTACGAGCTGCAAAAGTATCGTACTCGTAGTGATTGCTGCTATGCATGACAAATCTCTTTCCTAAGGTAAAACAGCATTACAAATTTCAATTGTAATGCTGAGCTAATTTGTGATGCAATTTGTGCTAGTACGATGCTTTTGCATTCGATAGACTTCATGGCGACGCAATTTGATGACATCCGCGACTTGACCAATTTCTCCAGTCACTTGACAGGTATAGAGTAGAACATAATGATAATAGCGAACGATTGATCATGGTGCGACGCGGCTGATATGTTTTATGGAGCTCTTTTTTTTTAGTTGGAATTGTACTCCTTTACGCTCCTGCACATAAATCATTCTCAACATCGTTCAAAATCCAGAGTGAATCAAACTTCCCCACAGCTACCAAGGAGATCCACGCGCCACCAGGCTCGGCGAACCCAGAGCAACAGCTCACAAGCCTCCAGGAGACCTTCTGGGCACAGAATCTGAGAACCGTGTTTTCTCTCCCCGCTCGGTACCTGAATTTCCAGAAGGAAGCACTGATCCTTCCGGATCTCGGGTCTTCGTCAGCTGCTTCCGCATTCGTTTTGTCGTCCTCTAGTTCCGGCGGCGGCGACTTGATCTTCATCCGGCAAGAGATCATTGACCAACTATTGGACTTCTTCAAAAACTTGGCCCTCCGCTGTCCGGGTATCAAAAGCAAATGTGTCTGGGTCTGGAAAGTAGACCTCGTGATGCTACAGTATGCTGGATAGGCTAGGGGCTCTCAAGTGCAGCAAAGCATGACAAGTTTATTTTACCTGACGCCATTTTATGCGTAGCACGCATGAAAAACTGCGTTTTTGCATGACGAAAAACAAAGTGGCGCCTTTGCTGGCCGTGCAATACAGATTTATTTTCAGGGCTACAAGACATGCAACAAAAATTCAACTTTTCATCCAGACCCAGACATATTTGCAATGCATACCGGGCGTTTTGTCGCAGTTCCTGTCCGCGTATCCAGAGGATGTCTTCCGTATCATCGGCGCCATGCGGCTGGGCGAAACCGCAACAAACCACGAAGCCGTGATGAAGCAAACGAACACGTTTTTGGAGCTTTGCGTGCAGGTGGTGATGAGGGGGGGAGAAACAGAAAGTGAAAGTAGAGAAACGCCGCTTGATGCAAGAACTCCAGGAGAGCAGGGCGCCGGCGAGCAGGACCGAAATCAGAAAGCAGCTTGTTGGTGGAAAACAGACGTGTTTCTGAGACACTGTTTCGCCCCGATATTCCAGCGGCTGTTGGCAGAAACCACGACGGGGACAACCGTTGTAGGCAGCACGACGAATAACAGCAGCAAAACCCCGGACGCAAAACGCGCATACACGGAAATCGGGGTGTTGGTGGCGCGGGATGCGGGCATTTGGGGAATCGCGAACGAGATTTTGACTGCAGCTGGGCTGAATGTCAGCGGGTTTTTGGAAAAATACCGGATTTTCGAAGCTGGAAGTAGAGACTACGTGCCTATTGGAAAACATTTTGCGGACGAAATGTTTCGGCTGTAGATCATGGTGGATTTTGTTGTAGGAGGTGTTGAATGTTTTAGTCGCGAAGCCTGTTTTCCCGGCACCAGTGTAGTTTGACAACGTCTAATATGCGACGGCGATTCCACCCGGCGCGAGTAACAACAACAACAAGACATAGTGCAGCAGCTGCACACGAAGATGCGTCCAGCTGTTCCTTCACCCCAATTATTCGCCCGAAGACAGAAGTGGCATTGCTCTCTACTTCTGGTGACTGTTGGTAATAAGTTTATAATCCTCGGAACGAAACAAGTTGTAAGATCCAGATCATCACGCTAAAATCTCAATGGGGCATCACGACCTTTGAAGATGCCATGGATGAAAAACCCGGAGGTATTCTTCCCTCATCTAGTACTTGCTTTGGATGAAATGCCACTTTGTCCCCGTTGTTCCACCAGATCGCGATAGCTGTTTTTTGGTTCTCCTGCCCAGAAATACCAAACCCATGTCGGATTCCTTTTTCCTCGTCATCCTCGGTGTGCAAATTTGCGAGCAGGAAGAGTGAGAGTGTTGATATTGTCGAGCAGGGTTTCGTGCAGCTACATGCCTACGGCTCGTACTACGACAGTCGTGATCCGAACAAGAAGAAGTGCGGTCAGCAATTCGAATTCTTTTTCTTGAACGACTCTTTCTGTGAACGGCACTGCTTAATACCTGATTCAACGTCCGTTGAGGACTCGAAGAAAAGTAGTACAATAGTTCATTGCAGAGAGCATGCAGGAGCATGGTATCCTTTGATAAAATGAAAGCGTCAACCGTATGAAAAGGACAGCAGGAGCACAACTTTCTTCCTCCTGCCAATTTTCTGTGTCTTCCTCTTTTGGTGAAGTGGATCTTTGCTAAAATCGGCTTGCACATCCAGTCGAACTTTTTGCGGAAACAAATTCGATCGGTTCTTCCATATCGCTGCACTTAATCCGCCTGAGAAGATGAAATATCAAATGAGGATCTTAAAAATAGCTCGGCTCACACGAAGATGGGCAGTTCCTCATCGGTTTAATCCAGGACCCTCAGCCTCAAAATTGTGTCTTCTAGTACTAGCTGTTATCCGTGTGACCGCAGTATATGTACACGAGCGCAGCCGTGCCGCTTGCTGTAGCAAGGGCCACAGACTCTAGAGCAGGGGAAGGAGGTGAGTGGGAAAGGAGGGAAAGGGGAAGGGAGCGAGCGGGAGAGGGGGGACGCAGAAAAGAGGGGGGGAGCCCGAAAGGGGGGGGGGAGGGGCAGGAAGGTGGAAGGAGGGGGGGAGCCGGGAAGGCGCTGCCAAAGAGAAGGAGAGAAAGCAGCAACGGGCTAAAAGGAAAGGGAGAAGAGGAGCAAAGACAAAGACGTGGAAACAGGGGAAAACGCTTTAAAGAGGGGTGAGCAGCAGGGGGGAAACGGGGGGTAATGCGAAAAAAGACGGGCATGCCAGGGCAGAGAGGTAGAGAGAAGAGCGGAAATAGGAAGCAGGCGGCATTGATGGGAATTCGGGGGGTTTGTTCCTCACGGTAGAAGGAATTCTCCGGACATGAGGTTCCCAGATGATTTCTGATAAGCAGTCTACGGCGTACTGCTCCACAGGAGGAAGCTTTTAGTAGAATTCCGTGCTCCGTCGGGTCATGAATCTTATCGTATCTAGTATGTTCCACATCGGTTTAACACGATGCGCAGTCCCTCATCAGTTTACTCCAGGATCCTCAGCCTCAAAATGGTGTCTTCTCGTATAAACCAAAGAAGAAATCGGCTTGGAAAAAGTTACGCACACGACGACCCCACGCAAGGATCCATCTCGGAAATGAATTCGATCAACGAAGATAAGATCTGCGCAAGAAGTATACTCAAAGGCTTTGCCATCTGTCGGTCAAGCAAGTACAACGAAGCATCGGTATAGAAAGATGAATAAGCTTAAGCTGCAGAATGATCCATCGCTATCAGGAACGAGTGACAACATTTAGAGCTGTAGAGCCCTTGGCTCCTACGATTAGCCTCTCATCCTTCAGTTAGTTTATTTTGGTGCATTGGAAGCGAATCTGATTTAACGCAAAGAATAAGTATTCTTTCTTGTCTTGTGCTACGCTGGATCGAAATCATTTGTAAAAAAAAGCAACACTACTTTTTTTCCTACCACGGAAGCTACGAACTCAGACTCTGAAGCCATCGACAGTTTTGATGTCTACGAAGGCAGTTGCAGTTCGTTCCAGTGAAAGTAGAATGTTGGTTACCACGAAAAACAAGGCGTCTGGCGGCCACGTCATGCTCTCGGCTCTGGCCGTGTTGGGGGCCGCGTACTCCGCGCCCGGCCTTGTGAACGGTGCGGGCTTGCGCCCCGCAGGTGCGACATCTAATTCTGAAGATCCGCCAGCAATCCGCGTATATCTTGGACTTGGCGGAAGCGTCGGTGGGACCTTGCCCAGGAGGCTCGACGCCTCTACGGCGGCACGTATGCTACACGACATGGCTTCGGGGCTAGCGCTAGTGCCAGCAAATGACAAAATCGTTTACAACGGCCTTGCATGTCAGACTCAGACAGTTGATAGTTTGTTGCAGGGCCGTGCGGAGGATTTGGGCACTATCCTCCCACCCGGCACTGAGGAGATTAACTTATTCGCTGGAATGCCGGACTTGCTTGAGGAGATGCCTGCCGAAGGTGCGAGCCTTGGCCTTCCTGTCGATGGTGCAATGGATGATGAAGGCCAACTGGAGCAAATCTGCGAGGTCTTGCAAATCAACGCGGAGGACTTGCTCGAGGATCGGTACGCCGCACGGGCTAGAAAGAAGCACAAGCTCTCGGGAACTAAACTCGAGGACTATCTCGCGCATCTGCGCACGCAAGCGGAAGAGCACGTGAAGCGCACTCTTCCGGCCATCGGCAAGGAGAAAAACCCGGAACGCAAATTGGACCACCAGCGCAAGTTGGTCAAGCTCATTTTTGCTTGGCGGAATTTAAACGGGTCCAAGGGCTGGGCGGGGTTTCCGGATATTGAGGAAACTAGACTGATTCAGATTAGCGCCTTTGCGATTATGGCGCTCTTCGGACACGCGCGAGCCAGCGAGCACGGCCAGAGCTACCCTTTTTTGTCGCCAACCCAGCTCGCGTTCAGCCACTTGTGTAGGTACTACGTCTTAGTGAAAGGGGAGTTTCGCGACGCTTTGAAGTCTGCCTGGGTCGCCCCGTTACCGGAATTCCCTCGCGCGGATCTTCAGGCATCGGATCATCCCCGTCGGATCTTCAGGCATCTAATAACCAACGTAGGTGGAATCGACATGAGCATGGCTGCCCTCGAACGATCCGCGAAGCGCTTAATGGAGAACGCAGCCCCCCCTCTCTCCCCTGCTGCTGACTGGGAATCACTACTACTACTAACGAAACAGGATCAAGCGAGGGTAGCAAGCTATCTAGAGGACATCGAAGCGCTGGCGTCCAGAGTCGAGCTTGGCGGTCCCGTCCGCTTTTTTGATGTCGATGGCATACTGATAACGGCAACCCGAGTGGGTTGGTCCGAAGAGCAAGAAGACGTCGACGAGTTTGCGGAAAAGTTCCACTTGGATGCTACCGGGTTTGGGGATCAACATAGTGAACATTTGCTCACATATGACCAGATCCAGTCCGCGCGCGCGCACGCCGTAGAAGTAGAGTATGGATCTGTCAGGATTGAAATCGTCAAAGTTGAAATGATTTGCGGCCATGCATAAAATGCAAGGCATAAAGTGCCTGCCTTGCCGGGATGGCAAGGGGGGCAGATTGTGAGCCTATTTAGGGTTTGGGATAGAGCTGCTAAAAGAGCATGACAAAAGCAGTCTTCTGTGCCCAAACAGCATGACAAATTGGATTCCGGTGCTCCGAAGATTTGTCATGCGCCGCTTGAAAATTGGGCTTCCAACTGGTATCCATTTTATGCATGGCAAATCATTTCAACTTTGACGATTTCAAGCCTGACGCTTCCATATAGAACAAGGCAAGTCTAAGTTCGGCCAGTTTGTGCTCGAGAAGCTGAAGAGCGATCTGGATGAGAAGGTGGAAATCATCATGAGAGCGGAGAAGGCTCGTCGCTGCGCTTCTTCGACCCATGAGCCAAACCGGGAAGCTACAACTACAAGTGAAGCGAATACGCAGCCCGCCGGTCGTACGGCGAGTACTACCGTGCTGTCCCAGACCAAGGCCGCTGTCAAGTTCAGGGCCAAGCGTGAGCGACGGCGTCGGGTTCGGCAGTACGCTTCTTCGCGCCGTGCGGTATGGATTGTAAAAATGTCTGGGTCTGGAAGAGTGCGCGATTTGTCATGCAGCTTTTCCATGACCCATGAGATGACCATGAGGTCTGGAATGCAGGTTCTAGCATGACAGATTCTGTGCGATCTCTCTCATGCCTCTCCTGCATGAGAAACTTCCTCCCGACTTGCTCTGGTAATCATGCAGCACAGATTTTTGCATGCTTTTTACTTCAATTCAATTCAATTCAGATTTAGCATGACAAGTTGCAATCTTCCAGACCCAGACACTTTTACATTTGATACGCAGGTCCTCCGAGCACTTCTCGTGAAGCGGTTATTTCCCCAAGCGGGTCAACGTCTGAAGCCTTCCTTTGAGGCGTAGGCCTTCGGAAAGCCTCTCTTATTTGAACTTGTTACGCGATCTATCTCCTTTCGAAGAATTTCCTTTTGTTTCCGCACAACAACCAAAAGAGCACTGCGCCACTCATTGCAGAGCTTTGTAGGTTTATGGTCAGGCCGTAGCAAGAAGTCATGGCGTTCTGAAGAAGGAAAGAGTTGTGATGTTTGCGAGGAGCTCGCGATGAAGAGCTGGCGAATGGAGGAGAGTTCTTTTGATCTTGATCGAGAATTACTAAACATTCATCTCGTCTTAGGCGACGAGGACGCCGACGAAAAAGAAGAACGACGAACAAAAAAGTAGCTTCCAGCCCTCCGCAATTTTTTGCCGATCACGAAAAACAGTTTGACGCACTACCGAACCACGAACGCAGCGCCGTTTTTGCGTTTTTTGCCTTCTTCAGGATATTGATATATATTATAAGGAGCAGCTACTAAAGATAAAGAAAATCAGTTAGCAAGATATTGCAGTGCCTGAAGTTCAGGCAACAGGTACAGCGTAGCTCAGGTAGCGCCAGTGACTAAAAAAGTCAGCGCCTGAAGTTCAGGTAACAGATAGCAAGCTAGCAGCAGTTAGTTTACTAAAAGAAATTCTGTGACGGTGCCGTTGCGTGTCCCGATCATGTTCAAGAACTGCCAGCACTAAGGACGCGCGACGCACCACCGAACCACGAACGCAGCGCCGTTTTTGCGTTTTTTCCCTTCAGGATAAGGGGCAGCTACTAAAAAAAAATCAGTTCGCAGGATACTTCAACGCCTGAAGTTCAGGCAACAGGACAGGATAACTCTGCAGGTAGCAGCAGTTACTAAAAAAAAATCAGCACCTGAAGTTCAGGTAACAGGATAAGCAGAAGTTAGTTACTAAAAGAATTCCTTCGATGTCGTTGCGTGTCCCGATGTTCAAGAACTACCAGCGCTAAGGATATGATCAATGTGTCGTCGTCGTAGAAGTTTATCGGAAATTTCGAATTTTCCATGGCTCGGAACCTCCCAATAGAATAGCTCGCCAGAAAATTTTAGTTGATTTCACTGGGGAATGATTTTCCTTTCCGGGCACCTGACCGCGTCCGACACAGCTACATCGCCGGGCAAAGCGGTCCGACTACACCTGCGGAGAAGTTGATGTCCCACCTTTGGGCCGCCCAAAAGTGAAAGCTAAAGCTTCAGGTTGAAAAAGTGAAATCTCGCTCAGATTTCACTTTCTGAGAAGTTGAGGCAGTCGTAGTTTTGGTCGTTTGTCAAAAAGTGAAACTTCACTGAGATTTCACTTTTTGAGCGCATTTTTTGAAAGATCTCACTTTTGGGCCACCCCGCCCAAGCGTGAGATTCCGAAAAAAGTGAAATCTCACTGAGATTTCACTTTTTTTCAGTGCCGCACTGAAAAAGGGGTGAAATCTCACTGAGATTTCACTTTCTGCACTGGAGCCCAGTGCGCCATGGAAAGTGAAATTTTTCAAAAAGTGAAATTCCAGTGAAGTTTCACTTTTGGAAAGTGAAATTTTGGAAAAAGTGAAATTTCACTGGAAAGTGAATTTTTTCAAAAAGTGAAGTTTCACTTTTTGAAGGTCTCATGTTTTAGCCGCCCAAAAGTGAAATTTTTCAAAAAGTGAAACTCCACTGGAATTTCAGCCATTTCTCAGTGGCGCACTGGGCTCCAGTGCGGCACTGGAGCCCAGTGCGCCACTGGGAAATGGGTGAAATTCCAGTGGAATTTCACTTGCGTCGCCGGCGTAGAAGTTTATCGGAAATTTTGAATTTTCTTCAGGCGAAAATTTTCTGAATGCCAGCCCAGCATCGTGAGTTGAAAAAATGACGACCAGGATCGAGAAGCGTACAAAGGTCCTCTAATCAATCGAGATGATCAGATCCACCTCGCGCACTTCACAAAGGAGCGAAATTGAAAATCGCGGTCAATAAAAAAAGAAGTATAATTCGAAAATGAACTTGAACCCACCTTTGAAACAAATGCAAAATCCTTGAAGCTGCATCGAGAATTAATTTCAAGTCAAAAGAAGTAAAAGATCAAGCTCAAGATCCTTTTTGTATGTTGCGATCTCTAACACATGGCACACATGACCACAAACCTTGAGTATCTATGAGTGGTTGTGCGCTGTGATCTCCATGTATGATGTTTTTTCAAGAGATTTTCCATAGCTTTATAAAATCCAAAGTTGAAGCTTCCTCGCACAAGAAAATGAAAAACGAACCTGCTTCAGTTTCAGTAAACTTTTGCGTAGCTGCTTCTAGCTCTATTCACAAGACCACTTTCACATAATCAAATTAGATTTTTTGTTCGTATCATACACGTGCTTCTTCATCTTCTCGAGTATTCTTTCATTACAACTCTGAACTTTCCTCTCCTTGTGTTACTCAATATTTACTTCGGACTCGCTCGTTCGTGTCGCAAAGAAACACCAGATCGCCCACCATGGTCGTCGCAACAGACAACAAATCGGAGCTGATTGTCAACACGGCAGGCAAGAAACTCATTTCTTTTGCCGAGGTGGAGCAGTTGATGAAGAACTTCGAAGACAACTACAACAAGGGCGACTACGCCGGGGCGGTTGACGCCTACAAGAAAACCTGCGACGTGAAGGTGAACGGCGGGACGGAGTGCGGCGGGGTGTTTTCGGGGAAGACGAAAGACGAATTTGCCGCTTTTTTGAAGTACATGCGCGAGGAGTTGTATGGAAGTGTCAGGTTTGCGATCGACAAAGTTGAAATCATGATTTGCCATGCATAAAATGCCAGGCATGAAGTGCCTGTGTTGCCGGGATGGCAAGTGAGGCCGATAATTGTGAGCCTGTTTAGGGTTTATTGACATAGAGCTGCTAAACTAGCATGACAAAAACAGTCTTCTGTGCTCAAACAGCATGACAAATTGGATTCCGGTGCTCGGAAAATTTGTCATGCGCCGCTTGATAAGTGGGCTTCCGACTGGTGTCGGTTTTATGCATGGCAAACTATTTCAGCTTTGACGGTTTCGATCCTGACACATCCATAAGTTGAATGCGAAGGACATGCAGTTTCTCGTCACGTCGGTGAATTCCCTGAAAGCCAACGTGCACACGGACACCTTCACCACCACCGCGGGTGTTGGGAGCTGCGTGGCCACCTGGGCGTTTGATGAGGAGCAGCAGAAGTGGGAAACTATCAAGGACCAAATCACGTTTGCCTTCCACGAGAAGCCGTTCATCTCTCACGAGGTTGTGTGCGAAAAGATGCTCGAATTCGAACAATGCTACAACAAGGGCGATTTCCCCGGCGCGGCGAAGGCGTATGCCGACAACTGTTTTGTCACGGTGAATGGCGGGAAGGAGCAAAACGGGCCTTTCACTGGGAAGACTAAAGAGGAATTCGAAGGGTTCTTGCAGTTTATGTACGAAACGGTGGGCGCGAGGGACATGCATTTTACCGTCACCTCCGTGAAGGACAACGTGCACACAGACACTTTTGTCACCACGAAGGGCAACGGGGCCTGTATCGCGAAGTGGGCACTGGTGGAGGAGGAGTGGAAAACGGTGCAAGATCAGATCACCTGGGTGCCGTTTGAGGAGGTGGACGAGGCGGCCGCGTAAACAACGGGGTTTTTCGGAGTCTTCGACATCTTCGATTTTTATGTTGCGGCACGGTAGAAGAAGAAGTAGTGGATCTTCCATTAGATCGACAATTTTTCTCGGGATGCACTAGGTCGTGATTCCGGATGCACGTACTTTCTTCGAAGTGTTGTAATATCTCTGTCTCAGTAAACATACAAGTTGTTTAATGGGACTAGTAAGTACTCGATAGAGCAGGAGGATAGTCGTCCCTTAACTGAGCAGCAAGATTTATGATCGTGAAATACCTGGAACAGGCTAGTGCAAAGAACAAGAAATAAACCAATTTTCTAGAGGTACTACAGAAGATACATTCCCAGAGACCGCCCCGTAGTGTTTTGATCATAACAAACGAACATATACATAGATTTATAGAAGTAGAAGGGAACTTCAGGGTAAAAGGTTGCTATGAACGACACTGCGTGTGGTCGCCTTGTAAGATGAAGGTCGGAGTTCGTGCAAATTTTGGACTTCGCTGAATAATATACAACTATGTCGTGTGGTGATGGTTGAACGTCAACACAAAAGCGCTCGTGCTTGTCGATCTGCTCCCATATGTCTTCATATTGGCAGCCTTCGTACAGGAACAGGCACGCAATGTGGTCAGTAAACAAGGAGAAGCTCATTCACGCTAGCAATCAAACATCAGCCTAGCCCAAGCACTTTCATTAATTTTTTGTACTCCCCCACCTCTCAAAAAAATTCTACATTGCAAAACTTGCAGAGACGAGGACGTCTGCCGATATTTATTTCCACCGCTAGCACTAATTCTTGTTGAGACCACACGATAATCGTGGCCTACCAATTATTAGATATGAAACAAGGCAGCTCCTACTACGCATCTTCACCTCAGGTGGAAAAGACCATGACTAGCGGTATGCTGGTGAAGCTAGTAAGAAGACCGCTTGCGCGTGGTTCTTCCTTTTTCCATTTGGTTCTTGATTATCATCTGGTAATCAGCATTAAAGCGTCCTTGAGCTCTTGCTCGTCCGAATCGCGATGAATGAAGAAACTCTATCGCCCACTCGAAGTAGAAGAAACTTTACTGACCCTTTATTGCTTCACGTCGCCACGACTTCCCTCCCCATGCCCAGGCGTGGTGTTAGTTGTGGGAGCCAGGCGTCGTGGATGCCAGCCACCACTTTTGAAAAAACCGCAAAAATATAGGCAGAGAAAGAAACTCTCCCTAGAATGGGATGAGTACTTGACTACCCCCTTCGTGGACGTGGTCCTGCTCAAACAGATCGTAGCTGTTCACTCCGTCGTGGTAATCGCACCTCGAGGAAATGTTTCCTCGTTAATATTTCCACCAAGAATGAACAACAAGAAATGGTCTGCAGCAAGGACGATTATACTCGATAAAATGATAATCTGAATCTGAAAGAGAAAGCGTCTGCCTATAATCTATCATCTGCTGGGCGGAAAAGGATAGCAGCACAACTTACTTTCGTCCTGCTGCCAACTACTTCCCTGTGTCACTGTCTAGCCCTCTTCTGTTGATGAAAGTGGATCTTTCATAGTGCCAAAAATCGGTTTATTGCGCATCCAGTCGAACGCTTTGCCAGAAAAAACAAATCCGATCGCCGGTCCTTCCATAGATACCGGTGCACGTAATCCGCCTGAGAAGGTGAGATATCAAATCAGGATCTGGGCTTGATTTACCCGATGGGCAGTTCTTCGGTTTAATCCAGGATCTTCAGCCTCAAGTTTGTGCTTTCTAGTAGGAGAAATCGGTGCAAGTAGAGTTCCTCACGTGAAGACCGCAATCGCGAAGGATCCTCGGAAAAAAATGCGATCGCCGATTATAGATCTGCGCGAGTTCCAGTTCTTGTACACTCAAAGGCTTTACTATTGCCATCTGTCGATTAAGCAAGTCCAACAAGTAAGTACACCAAGACACCATCAGCGAATACGTACTTTTTTGTTTTGAAGCAACTGCTTTGATCATTTTTATCCTGCTGGTTTGTACGACAAACTTGATTTGAATTTTCAGTTTTGCCTTTGTTGACAGTTTATTTGTTGGCTACCCATTTCATTCTGTTCACCCTGCGCCTGCCGGTTCTCAAAAAGCACAAAAATGTCCGTCCATCCAGGCAACCAGGTCGTCTATGCCCATCAGCAACCGGCTGGGCCCCCCGGCCACTACGAACAACAAGGAGAGCGTGACCCTCTGGTCTATACTACTAATGATTCCAGCTGGCAAGAACATGGAGCCCTCCAAGCGTAGGAGGCGGAGAAGAAGAAGAAGTTTTGTTGTGCGATCACGGCGATTATCATCGTAGTTTGTGTGGTGCCTCTCGTTTTTTTTCCGACATATCGTATCTCTGTCTAACTTGGAACATACAAGTTCTGGTTCAATCGGACTAGTAAGTTGTACTCGATAGAGCAGGATTTATTTCGTCTCTTAAAATAAAACTGAGCAGCAAGACTTCACTTGTTGTGATCGTGAACAAATACCTGGAGCAGCACCAGCAGGCACGTGCAAAGAAAAAGAACAAGAAGTAGGCCAATTATTTGCTAGAGGAACTACAAAAAAAAAGATATATTCCCAGAGACCACGACCCCGTAGTGTCGTTGTGATAACAAACTAAGTACATACTTACTAGGCTTTTAGAAGTACAAGAGCAGGGTACAAGTTTCAGTTTGGTATGAACGACACTGCGTTACTTTGGTCGACGTGTATGATGAAGGTGGTCGGAGTTCGTGCAAATTTTGAATAATTTTCAAGTATGTCGTGTGGTGATGGTTCAACGTCAACAAAAACGCGCTCGTGCTTGTCGATCTGCTCCAATATGTTTTGATATTGGCAGCCTTCGTACAGCAGGAACAGGCGCGCAATGTTGTAAGGAGCAAGAAGCTTATAACTCACATTAACAAACTCAAACATCAGTCTAACTCAACCACTTTCATTGATTTATTTGATGTATTCCCCCACCTGCACCTCTCCAAAGATTTCTAAGTTGCAGGGAGGAGGACGTCTGCCGAGATTCTTTTTCAAAATCTCTGGTTAATTCACTCCGGTCCGCCTTGCTCTTTGAAGATCCGTGCGAAAAAGCACATGAAAAGCTGCTGCCATGGTGAAGAACGGTTAGTACAAGCGCAGGCCCTAGAGTGTAACATGAACGGAATCGGGCTACAAGGCCACAGGTAAATCACCCCTGCGTCTTCCGGTCGGCCTTTACGAAACTGACTACAAAAAACCGCGACGGTAGAAAGGGGGCGGTCTAGTCTACGGTCTAGATCGTCTCCACTACCATTCGAAAAAACGCAAGTCCCAGCTATAGTACAACAGGAGCGGCATCCGACCCGAGTGTAGTCAGCCGGACCATTTTTAGAAGACGTTGCGAGGTGGGCGGAGAGGCATCACGCGTGCAGTGGAACGAGAGGAAGGCCAGCGTTCAACTGTGTGACGTTCGTCGTATACTGTCGTCGCCAGGACAGTGGCACCTGCACTGCAGCTGCGTGCAGCGAGTTTTGTTCGTATATTAATTTCCCATATGTACAAGGCCACAGGTAAACTATCCCAGTGTCTTCCGGCCGGCCTTCTTCTGTGTGATGTCCGCGCACCACTGCTTTGTATCACTAGCTTGTATCACTAGCTACTGCTTTGTATCACTGCTTTGTATCACTAGCGTGTATTCACTAGTTCACTAGCGTTTGTCCGCGCACAGCGATGTGACCTCTGGTTACTCGCTCGCTGCTTTGTATGCTTGCTTTTGTATGCTCGTGGCCCGCCAGCTTTGTCTGGTGGTCGTCTATTGGTTGTATCCGTATTTGATGTTCTCGTTAAAAGTTGTCCGCTCGTATCGTATCTCCCTGTGTGTCGGTTCGTACATTTGTGTCTCGTTTTCCTGGAGCCTGATCGCAAATTCGTATGCTCCTTCCATGCCGTTGCATGCTTAAATCTGATCTTTCCTGCTTCGCTTCCCCTTGTATCCGCCCCTGTAGAATCAGGTCTATACCCCTTTTACTTTTCTTCAGTCGTTTATATTATGTTATGTTGTTTTCTTACTCGCTGTTGCTTACTACTGGACTGCCCGTTCCTTTTACCCCCTCTTGCATGCGTCCCTGTAGGCTTAGATCCCTACCCTTTTATCCTGCTTCTTCCCTCTAAGTCTGATCGCTTTACTTTTGCAACCTTTGTAGCGCTAGTTGCGGATCCCGCGTACTCGCAGGGGCTTTGTTTTTTCCGCCTTGCCAGCGGGTTTGTCCGGGGGGGCGCGACAGTCTTTGGGGATTCTGGCACTTGACGTTCACCAACGAGTTGCCGGCGGGGCGTTGCACAACTTTTCCTACTACACCCCTGCGGTCCGACGACCAACTTCGTGTTGATTTTCCCCGATTCAGATGGGCGCTTTTTTCTGCTGCTGTCTTTCCGGCGAACACCTCTTGGTGCTCGTCAGTCTGCCAGAGCTTGTTTACATGCGCGCGCTATCTGGTGGCGGTGAAAATGTGCCACGAACGCGGTGCTCGCGACCTCATCTATTCGTTCTTTCTCACTCGGGTTCCGCAGTTGATATGAATGACATTTATATGTTTGTCGGAGGCTGGTTCGTTGTCTGCGGAGTTCCATTATGGCGTCAATCTGTAGATAGTTTTGGGTCAGGTCTGCTAATCCTGGCAAGTAGTTTCATTCGGCGCCGGGGCTCTAAACAACTTACCTGTTCCTCAGCGCTATTGCGCTCGCTACAGCTCTGCTTGGAAAAAATATTTTACAGTTTGGCCTCCGCTTGTGGAAGGTCGACGATTCGCGCCTGCTCTGCTCTGCTAGCCGCGCGGTACTCTTCAAGTTCGTGTGGGCTCCTGGTGCTGCGATCACCGTCGGGAGCTAAACAACATGAGAACATAAGGACGTCGGTGCTTGAGAGCTATTTAGTATTCGACTTCTTACTACGTTTTGATCCTTTTGCATCCCTCACGCACGACCAGGATCTTTGTGTAGTTCGAAGCCCGCCGAAATTTTGCGAGCGGATTTAGCTTTCTCACCCCCTCGAAAAAAGGGGAGTCTCCTGACCCTTATGGTCGTCCCTGCCGCCGGTGGTAGCGTGCGCGTCGCCACTCTGATCTGATCTGATCTGATCTATGTAGGTTATCTCTCTCTCTCTCTCTTTTCTAACTCTTGTTCAGACCACACGATAACTGCACGTCGTGGTCTACGAGTTAGTTTTAGATATTTTTGAACAAGGCGGCTGCTACGCATCTTCATCTATGGGTGGAGAAGATTATGACTGGCTGCATGATGTTGAAGCTAAGAAGACCGATGGCGCGTGTTTCTTCCTAAAGCACAGCGTCGCTTGATGTCATGGATGAAAAACTACATCCCGGAAAGTGAGCAAGTCTCTTCTCCTTCATCTCCCCCGGCTTTGGAGGCTTTACCAAATTTTGCTGTTGTTCCAGGAGGTCGCGCCAGCTGTTTATGTTTTTTTGGTTACACCCCCGAAGTCTAGCATCAAGCGCGAACGCAACCTCAAGCTGTTTGCGGTACTAGTTCTCTTCTTTGCACGACCGAATTCTATCTTGTTCTTACGGAGACCTTTCGCTTGGTTTCGTCCGTCGTTCGTGAAGATGAAAATGCAAATGGCTGCCGGCTAGTGTTGTTTGCGTCGTTCGTACAAATGCAAGGCTGTTCTTCACTTTCTGGAACGGTGTTATTTCCAGCATGAGCATCGCCTGCAAAAGATAAACATTTACATTTTTGCGGCGCGTACAGCGCTGAATGACCGGCGCACCAGAAGATGCAATGGAAAAGATGCTGCCTCAACAACCAGCACCGAGGACGTGGTCCGCCGTGCAAGGACTTGGTGCTAGTACCAAAAAGCCCAAGAAAAATAATAAAAACCCTCTTTCTGCTCACAACAAGGAAGTACTACGTCAGGCCACGACGACACTGCATGCGGATGCCGCAACCAGCACGGAAACCCTCTCTGAGACCCTGCCCAGCCTCGCGGTGCAGCGCGAGCAGGCGGAGCAGGAGATGCTGCTGGATTTCCCTTTTGATTTACGGAGAACGCAGTTAATCGCCAGGTTGTTCGAGCTGGTGCAAGACCACGCGGAAGAGAAGTCCACGGTGGTGCAACAAGATGTCGCGCAACTCTTTCTCTGTATTCACAGGAAATAATTTCCCCTGCACGTACAAATGCTATTTCCGCATGACAAAACTTGCCTCCAATCTGAGTCAGCATGACAGGAAGTTGGTTCGGCACACTCCAAGTGAAAAATAGCGCAACCTGTCATGCATTTTGCACATGTGCCGCAGGAAATTGGTATGGCATACTCTCCGCCGGGATTCTCGAGGCCAACGTGTACTTCTACCAGAGTGAAGAGATTGACCAGGGGTGCGTGATCGGCCCCAGTGTCTCCTTACAGGAAGTCGTGCAGCAGTTTATGAAATGTAAAAATGTCTGGGTCTGGAAGAATGCACGTTTGTCATGCTTGTCTGGCATGACTCGGGAATCTGTGTTGCATAGGCACGAAAAAGCCTTCTTACCTGTCATGCAAAAACGCAGTTTGCCATGCGGAATACGTAAGACATGGCAGCCAAAAAATTTGTGATGCATAGCTGTGTATTGCAGTACGTCTATCATTCATTTTTAGCATTACAAGTTTCCAGACCCAGACATTTTTACATTTGATACAGTTGTTGGTACAGCAGAACGAGAGCAGCAGCTTTCAAGGCCTAGAAAATATCCTGTGCAAAAGTATCGTATTCGTATAAATGCAAGTCTTGCATTACAAATCTTCTTCTTGAGGCAAATCCGCATTACAAATTTTATTTCTCATGCTGAGGAAATTTGTGATGCATTTATACGAGTACGATACTTTTGCAATTCATAGAAAATGGTGGTGGTGAGCAAAATGACCCCCTAGATCACGATCCTTTCGTGTTAGACGACCGCTTATGTATCACCCAGGAGCTCTTCGAGTCCTTACTGCAAGAGATGACAAACCTCGAGCTGGCACAATGCGTCGACGCGGTACTGGATCACGCATTGCAAATGGAGACCAGTTGGGGGATCAGCTGTCCGATCCACAACAGCGGTCATCTTCCAGGTGGTCAACACGGGACCACGACGAGTTCATCGCTGAAGCTAAAAGGTGCAAACGGGATCGCCCTCTATGAAAACGACCTTTTCCTGGCGGACTCGATGTCGCATGCCATATTTCGCATCAGAAACTGGAGCGGAAATAATAATGGGGGAGCGAGTTCTTTGGGAAATAACCTGACGAATCGAAATAGCAGTACTGCTGGAGTGACCGGGTTGGCGGGAGGAGGTGGTGTTGGGAACAACAATCTTCCTGGTATTCTTGCACTTGCTGAATCCACCATCAATGCGGTCCTCATCACGTTGAGAGTTCTTGTTGTAGTCAGAGTCTCTGTACGAGAACGAGTACGACCTGCTGCGCTTAAAAATCTACTGGTGATGTTGTAGACTGTTGACTACGTCGTACTGCCGCGTTACTTGTTCGTCAAACATAGTTCTTTACTTCATCGATGATCTTTCAGTAGAAAAATCTCGCCGCTTATGTTTTCCTATTATCCTATCTAAATCAGGCCCCACGTCCTACCAGTTGCACCAGCACGACCACTATCAAGTGTAAAAGTGTCTGGGTCTGGAAACTTGTAATGCTGGGCGGCGTATCATGAGGAGGCTACAAGTGCTGGCTCAGCATGACAAGTTTCTGAGCTTCTTGGTGTTGCCTATTCTGCATGACAAACTGCGTTTCTGCATGACAGAAAAATGGGGGTCTTGGGTAATGTGCATGACAAATTTAAGAGTCATGTGAGACAAGCATGACAAACTTGCATTCTTCCAGACCCAGACATTTTTACAGTTGATAACCACCGGTCGGGCTCTACCACGACCAGCGGGGGCAGCAGCGCGACCGGCAGCATTGTGTATATGAAATGCAAAAGCATCGTACTAGTAGAAATCGCATGACAAATTCTCTCAGCATGAAAAATGGAATCTGTAATGTGGATTTAGGTAAAGAAGGAAATTTGTAATGCATGACAGCGATTACTACGAGTGCGATACTTTTGCACAGCATTGTGTACAACCCGCACCAGCAATACAGCCCGACGAGCGGGGGCGGGGGCGGTTCTTTCGGCGGGGGCAACAGCACGTCGAACGCGGCGGCCAATAGTTCGTCGTCACCTTCTCGAGGAGGCGGACATCACCAGCAGCACCCTTTTGCCCACCAGAATTCTACTACTTCCTCATCCGCAAGCCAGAACCTCGAGCTTTTCGCGGGTAAACTGAAAAACCCGGGTTTCCGGGACGGCCCGAGAGCCCTGGCCCAGTTCAACGGCCCCTCTGGGCTGTGCATCTGCCGCAGAACCGAGCAGCTTTACGTCGCGGACACGAGGAACGACAGCATCCGCGCGATCGATTTGATCTCCGGCCTGGTGCAAACCTTGACGGTGCAGTCGGTGGATTTTATTGGCTTGTCCAACCCAGTGGACATTTGCATAGTGTACGGTGACTTCGACTACGAAGACAATGAGTCCTCCGACAACAACAGTTCTGGAGATGAGGAAAATAACCGGCTGAATGGAAACAACTCCGATGGTGGCAACATACGAGAAGGTACAACCGCTCCCCCTACTGCTACCGCTCATTTGTCATGCAAAATCCCAATATATGCAGTCGCTCTCGCTGCCTCATAGTCATATCACTACAGTTTGCGTAACAAATTCCGGAACAAGCCGAAACAGTACTACACTGGGCGCACCAAATTTGTCATGCGTAGGCTTTACGCGTGCTGGTGTTTGTATTCGTATTGCTGTACATGCTAAAAAAATGATGGGGAGGCGGGGAAGTCCGAGTTGTGCATCTTCATACAAGAATTCTGACGACGAGAACGATAACGCGAACAAACCGAGGCTGGAGCAGATCCAGGAGGAGGACTCCGCCGAAGTGGAACTGGAAGACGCGTCCGAGCAATTCGCGAACGCTGGGGGGGCTGGCGGGTTATCCGGGTCGATTATGGAAGCGGCTAGCAGCAGGCGGAGAATGATGTCGGACTTGTACAACATATCAAATGCAAATATGTCTGGATCTGGAAAGGAGGAACTTGTAATGCGTGTCATGCATACCAATACCTGGAAAATCTGTGTTGCATGAGCAGCAAATGGGCTCCTGCTTCCCTTGTCATGCAAAAACGCAGTTTGTAATGCGTGTTAGGCATTAGTGGCGCTTGCTTCGGAAGCTTGTCATGCTTCGCTGCCATTGAAAGCGTTGCAATCATGCGCAACTCAGCATGACAGGGTTCCAGACCCAGACATATTTACATTTCGTACAACAGGCGGCGGTCCGCGAGGTTCAGCTTAGCGGATGAGTACGGCATTACGCCTATCGTATTTAAAAACGTTCCCAACCCATAGGATAGTCGTAATGCAAATCTGCATGCTGGAAATGTTTCTCATGCGGAGCCCCATGCGAAGCATTCTCTAGCCACGTTTTGGAATTTGTCATGCTCCAATCAGCATGATATACTAAATCTGTAATGCTGCTGAGCTAGCTCAAACAGCACGACACTACGACTCCAAATTTGTCATGCGAAACAGCCAAAGCTTGTGGATTTGTCTAGCCGATTCCCCATCTTGACCATGGGGTGGGGACGTTTTTACGTAGGATAACGCCGAGTGGGAAGTCGTCTGTCCGGACGAGCCGGAGGACCTCCCGGGCGTACACCTCTTATCCTGTGCAAAAGTATCGTATTCGTAGTAATCCCATTCATGCATTACAAATTTCTTTCTCAAGTTAAATCCGCATTACAAATTTCCTTTCTCATGCTGAGGAAATTTGTATTGCAATTCATACTTACTAGTACGATACTTCTCCACAGGATACCTCTGATTCGATGACAACGACGAGAAGAACGTCTCTCAATCTATTAGACCACACGAGCGGGAACGTGATCGACAGTCTGCGAGAGTTGTCCGGGGTTATCAAGTGTAAATAGTGTCTGGGTCTGGAAGAGTGCATGTTTGTCATGCTTGTCTGCCATGACTCTCAAATCTGTCACGCACGTTACCCAAGAGCGCCATTTTTCTGTGATGTAGAAACGCAGTTTGTCATGCAGAATAGGCAACACATAGAAGAAGCTCAGAAACTTGTCATGCTGAGCGAGCACTTGTGGCCTCCTCACGATACGCCACCCAGCAGCACAAGTTTCCAGACCCAGACGCATTTGCATTTGATAGGAGTGGCGAATTCCCAATTCGACAAGCTGCCCGTATGGGATTCTCAATTGTTACATTCTCAACTGTTACAGGAATTTGTCATGCAAAAGCACCATCATCATCCTCACGATCAAGCTACTCCGCATGACAAATTTGGCAAGGCCTAAAGCGCGCCTAAATCTGTGCGGAATTCGTAATGCTACAGGTGCAACCTTCCCCCTTGTACTTTTCCAATTCTTGCATCACAAGTTCATGTAACAGTTCTTGAGAATGTAACAGTTGAGAACGCCATAGCCCGACCTGGCGATTGCTTGCGACCACTCGGTTTTTGTGATTAAACGGTCTGGCACTTTGGAAATGTCCTTCGTCGCGGGGAACATTTTATCCAGGAGAAAACACCCATCCCCCCATCCATTGGTTGCATGACAAACAAAGGAGCTTATTCATGTTTTGCATGACAAATTGGATGGGGATGGGTGTTTTTTTCTGGATGCGTTTCCGAATACGGCTACAAGGACGCGGCGAAGGGTTCGGACGCGCGGTTTAGCCAGATCCGGGGAATTTGCTCGATTCGGAATTCTATCAACTGCAACCTTATCGTACTAGTTAATGAATTGCAATACTTACAAAGTGACTCCGCATTAAGGATATCCGATATTCAAGTTTGTAGTTTGGATTTACCTTAGCAGCGTAGAGTTGAGTTGTAGTGCATAAGTGGAACTACTACGAGTACGACTACGTCGGTACTTTTGCATTGGATAAGTTCCGTCTTCGTCGCTGACCATTGGAACAACGCGGTCCGGTGTATCTATCCAGTGAAAATATGTCTGGGTCTGGAAACTTGTGATGCTGGCTTGGGAATGGTGGACACACTGCAATACGCAGCCAAACATGACAAATTCTTAAGCTGCTATGTGTTCTTGCGAGGTCTGCATGTGCAGGGCAAACTGCGGCTGCGAGTTCTGCATGGCAGACTGGGGTTTTGCACGGGAGGCAAGAGACTCTCATCCTGCTCATGCATCACAGAGGTAGGAGTCATGAGAGACAAGCATGACAAACTTCTACTCTTCCAGACCCAGCAGATCGATATTTGCAATGCATAGCATCAATTTGAAAACCACGGGGGTCGACACGGTCATGGACTTTGAGCCAAACGGGCCGCTTATCTTGAGTAAAAATGTCCTCATACCAGAGTTGTCATGCAAATGCGCAATGAGAGCAACATTTGTAATGCGCGTCTCCATGAAAGGCACTTCCACTCGTGTTTTGGACTTTGTAATGCTGTAGGCAGGATGGGAGGCTGGATTTCTCATCCGGCTTCCCTTGCTAACCAGCACTACACTGCAGATGGAAGCTTTTCATGCGCAGCGCCCAAAACTTGGAGATTTGTGTTGCTGATTTACCAACTTGACTATGGGGTGGGGACGTTTTTACACAGAATACCGCTGAAACTGACAGCCTCCGACTCTGGGTATTTGTACGTTCTGGACTCCGACACAATTCACATGTGCAACATTTTGAAAATCTGTTCGGTGCAGCGGGAAAATCTGAGCACGTCCGGAGTTATCCACAGTAAATTTCCCGTACACGTGCAAATGCGGTCTCTGCATGGCAAGACTTGGCTTCGATCCTAGTTTAATAGCATGACAAGTTTCACACTCCAAATTGGGGAAATTTGTGATGCATCTTGTACATGTACGGGAATGGGAAATTTGTATTGCATAGGAGTGAATGGAAGCTCACTGGGCACCTTGTCGTTCCAGAACTTGCAGAAGCAAACGCTTTCTGGCATCGGAAATCATGCTGCTGGTGCAAGCAATACAAGAAGCAGCATCGGTGGAGCTGCCGGTGGTCCTGTGCCGCCGACAACTGGAGCTGTATCTACTGCATCGCCCGCCGTCGGTGGTGGTGTGAGCAAGGGCACTTTGCTGGGGGGAAAGAGTCCCATTCTCTCCGCTAGGAAGCTTTCCTTCACACCGAACCTGAACACGAAGACCGAGAATAACGAGAACACCTCCTCCGCCAGCAGCTCTAGCGGCGGTGCAGAGACGACCAGTGCTGACAGCAACCAACTTAACGTCAACAGGAACCAACCCCGGTCCGGGTCCTTCTTAGACGCGAATTGGCGCACTGTATGATGATTTGCAAATATGTCTGGGTCTGGAAGATCCTAAACTTGTGATGCTGTCTCTGGATTCTAAACAAAATTGTGTAGCATGACCAGCAAGATGAGGGCTCCAGTTTGATGTCCTACGCGGAGAGGGCATTTCTCATGCGGTAGAGGCATCGCATAGCCGTCTGAAAATCTGTGATGCTAGGACATGCATCACAGACATCATGGGTCATGCAAAATGTGCATGTTGACAAACCTGGCAATCTTCCAGACACAGACATATTTGTAGTTGACACACTGCCACGGATCACAAGAGTTTTCAGGATATGCTGTGCCAAAGTATCGTACTCGTAGTAATCGCAGTCATGCATTACAAATTTTTTTGTCAATGTAACTCCGCATTACAAATTTCATTTCTCATGCTGAGGGAATTTGTCATGCATTTATACGAGTACGATACTTTTGCAATTCATACAGGAAGAACGGAAACGAAAGCTGTCCGCGGCTGCAGTGGAGTTCAATTTTGCCGCGGCGGCCGCGGGCACCATGGTAGCAGGTGGTGGACGAGGAGTTCCTCTTGGTGCGTCAACTTCTTCTACGGGAAAAATATATGCTGGTACTTCGACTTCCTTTCCCACCCCATGCACAGTGCCCAAAGTCGTCGTATCGGTACTACCCGCAGGATCAGCAGCTGCATCTACTTTCCATGCCGGAGCGACCGGCGCAGGAGCAGGTTCACAAACTGCGCCCCACGGCGCAGCTGTGGTTGGTTTCTCACTGGACGACGATGATGACGATGATGAAGAAGACAGCGAGACGGAAAACGATTCGCGTTCGGAATCCGCGGTAAGCTCCAGAACATCCAAGACAACCTCCACTACAAACAAGAACAACCAAGGAATAAATGGTAATGGAAATGAAAGCTCGACGTCCACCTCCAAGGTCGTCGTGGATACCGATACCAAGAACAATCCACCGAATGGAGCGGTCGTTTCGATTGTGCAAGTGCAGGTGCCCGGGTCACCGGTGAAAAGCAAGAGTCATTTATCGGCGTCGGCGGAAGTAGGCTCAGCTGGCTCATCTAGTACGGGCAAAAGCGCCAGCTGCAATGGTCCTCTACTACAGGACGTCGCAGGAGATCAGCATAGTCCTCGCGATGCATCTTCATCAAAGACTGTTCAAAATAACCTGAACCTCCTTCAACCTGTCAACTCCTCCGCGTCCAATGCCTCCAGTTCCCGCCGTGGCAGTTTTTCCGATCCTTCGATTCTCAACGCCCCGAACCTCCCCGGTTTCAACCCAAACAACTTGACCAATATGAACTGCAAAAGTATCGTACTCGTATAAATGCATTACAAATCTTCTCAGCATGAGAAATAAAATTTGCAATGCGGATTTGACTTAGCGAAAAGATTTGTAATGCTTGATTGGAATACGAGTACGATACTTTTGCACAGGATAACCAACCACGGGGACCAAAACGCGAATTTGCTCATGATGCCAAATCATCAAATGTAAAAATGTCTGGGTCTGGAAGAATGCAACTTGTAATGCGTATTTCAGAACACAGAAAAGTCTCTCATGCATACGTAGCAAAAGCTGCCCACTTTCTGTCAGCAAAGTAGGGGACTTGTCATGCGGATTCGGCATTGCGGAAGCTTCTCGAAACCTGTGATGCTAGAGCTTCCATGCCAGACCTTCT